TACTGTACTGTATGTGACTCAGGGCCCATGTGGCAGTTGTCATAGGTTGCTGTATTAAGGTTTTATTTGGAGACTGGACTATCCATTCCTCATCAGTTCTACATTGATTAAGGAAAATGGTTTAGTACTTATGAGGGGCCTCTCACCCAACACACACAAAACCACCAGCATTGATTATTTTAAATATGTAAAATCATTGCCAAAGGCAAATAATTTCTGTGTGTTATTGCTAATGATAATAATCAATCCTAAAACAGAATTATGTATTTTTACAACAAATATAAGATAATGCTTCTGTCTTATCATCCAAGGAGTGTACCTGCTGAGTAAAGATAGTGATGAGTATGTGACTGCAGGTTGATGAGCCCCGTGGTGACCTGCTCTTGGCACCTAGGTGGGCCCTGCAACCTGCTTCTGCAACACAACCCTCCTGGAGGCTCACGTGTTGCAGCAACTGGAGCAACTTGGCCTTGAACCAACCCCTACTGAACACACAGTTACACAGCTCAGCCAGTAGTGTCAAAGCTGCTGCCTGCAGAGTTTGTGTGTAAAGACAAGTCATAACGACGAAAGGAATTCTCAGGACTTGAGCACAAAGTTCATAAAACAGTTTGGCTTTGGTAGCCACGACTGGAAGATCCAGACCTTGGGTGGAGCCGAACACATCAACAGCATCCATGTCGCAGCCTGTGGTAAAAATAAATAGGTTTCCTTGAGTTAACGAGCGAAATACCGAGCAATTACGAGTCGTGCTCTGTGTTCCGCCGTGTAAGTTGCTAACTGTAGGGTTTTAACCAGCCCTGGGATCAAGTCCTGTATGTAAATGACCAAGTCCAAAAAGTCCAGTTAAGTAAAGACTAAAAAGGTCATCTTCCAAGTCAACTCTCACTGGTCAGCTTTAACTTAAGTGTAAACTAAACCTAAAATAGATTCTAATATTTCCCTTACATTCTTCCCTCCCCTAGATTCCACGATGCATCGGTCAGAAGGCAGCACCAAAACTGAGGCTGGAGCCCCTAGAAATATTACCAGGGCAAGGGAACCCGACTCTAAAGCAGATTGGGGATCCCTCATACTCCAGGACTGTTGCTGGAACCTTGACCGCAAGCAAGGTGAGTCTAGAAGTTGTTGAAGTGTGTAATGTTTTTACTGCCCTTCACCTAAAGTTGTTTAAGCACATAACTAGCTTAATGATTATACTTCTCCATTAACAAAATAAAATATAAAACTCAAAATTGCTGTACTACTGTATAAGACTTTACCTTATTGTAGCCTGGAAATTTGTAATTAAATGCTGTATACTTGTTTGTGCTGTGTGTAGTATTGTATGGTAGACAAAGAAAGGCAAACATTCCCCTTGAACAAACCCTTACAGCCAAAACTGCTGCTGAAGCTGAGTGGAATTGGAGAAGACAATCATTCTATGGCCGCGGCGAACACTTATACCACCGTTCCCTCGTGTGAGCTCAACACACCTGACATAAGTGAGTTTGACCATCATTAATCACCGCCACAGATCTCCTGCTTCACCCAAACCCCCCCCAGTTCTTCTCCTGCTTCACCTAACACCCCCAGTTCTTCTCCTGCTTCACCTAACACCCCCAGTTCTTCTCCTGCTTCACCTAACACCCCCAGTTCTTCTCCTGCTTCACCTAACACCCCCAGTTCTCTCCTGCTTCACTCCAGACCCCCAGTTCTTCTCCTGCTTCACCTAACCCCCCCAGTTCTTCTTCTCCTGCTTCACCCAACTCCCCCCCAGTTCTTTCTCCTGCTTCACCTAACACCCCCCAGTGCTCTCCTGTTTCACTCCAACCCCCCAGTTCTTCTCCCGGGCTCACCCAACACCCCCCAGTTTTTCTCCCGCCTGTCTGACACCCCTGGGGTTCTTCTGCTTCACCTAACCCCCAGTTCTTCTCCTGCTTCACCTAACACTCTCAGTTCTTTTCTCCCGCTCACCTAACACTTCTGTAGTTCTTCTCCCCGCTTCACCTAAAACTCCCCCAGTTCTTCCCGCTTCACCTAACACCCCCCAGTTCTGTTTCACTAACACCCCCCCAGTTCTTCTCCCGCTTCACCTAACACCCCCTGCTCCTTTCTCCCCCGCCTACCTAACACCCCCCAGTTCTTTTCTCCGCTCACCCACACCCTCAGTTCTTCTCCTGCTCACTTAATCTCCCAGTTCTTCTCCTGCTTCACCTAACACCCCCCCAGTTCTTCTGCTCCACCTAACACCCCCCAGTTCTTCTCCTCCTGCTTCACCTAACACCCCAGTTCTTTCTCTCCTGGTTTCACTCTAACACTTCAGTTCTTTTCTTTCTCCGCTTTCATTCTTAACACTCCCCAGTTCTTCTCCTGCTCACCTAACACCCCCCAGTTCTTTCTCCTGCTGCACTTAACCCCCAGTTCTTTCTCCTGCTTCACCTAAGACCTCTAGTTCTTTTTCTCCTGCACCTTAACACCCCAGTTCTTCTCCTGTTTCTTCTAACACCCCAGTTCTTCTTCTGCTTCGCCTAACCCCCCCAGCTCTTCTCCTGCATCACTTAACTCCCCAGTTATGCTCTCACTTCACCTACTCCCCCCAGCTCCTCTCCCGCCTCATCCCCCTTCTCTCTCAGAAAATTTAACTGGAATTAAACCGGTGTAACACAGATCTTCACTAAACTTTGGCATCAAGCTAAGGTTCCCCAAGTGAGGACGATGTTGCCGAGGCAATACAGTCAATTACGTGATCTCCTTAGCGATCCATAAATTCTGTAATGCTGTGTGTATACATTTTTCTTAGACATATGTTGATATGTTCCATCAGAAAGCATCACTCACTAAAAAAGGACCTATTTACTGGGTTGAAATTCGTAATCCATTAAAACCACAAATGTCTGTAATGGCCTCTTAAAGAAGTGCAGTCTGTGAATACTGTGTGAATACTGTATGTTTACCCAGTGTTCCTTATGAACCTGAAGAGTGATCTAAAGGTGGTATCTGGAAACTGGTGCTCTGGCAACCCCTCCTGGATATTGTACCGTATATAAGTTGAGGATGTGGGGTAAGAGTGCAGTCAGCTGCAGTTATCAGTAATACTCACATCATCACCCGGAGGATATTATGATACGTGTTGGAGTATTGTGAAGATTTGGCGTTTGGTGATTGAAGTTGAACTGTGCTGGTGATAGCTAATTTTGGCACTTGTGAAAATTTCTTGCTCTCTTAATGAAAGGATTTTTGCCAATTGTGTTTAAAGCTTTACATTGACAGTGAAAATACTTTTGTGCATTGAACATTAAGTTGGTGGTTGTTTGGAATTGAAATGAAAACTTTGAAAACCAAATGATTAAAGTCTGAATAGTTTTTCTGTACCAAGACAATTTACAGAAATCGGTTCTCACCACTAACACATAATTTCCGTAAGAAAGTGTCAAATTAATTCTATAACTGTAAAAATGTGCTGTCTCAAATCTTGAAGAAGTAAACTTTATAATTTTTTTAACTGTAGTTTCTATTTGTTGCAGAGTTTGATGAGATTTTGGATGGCAAAACCATTTACAGTTTCAGTAGCTGTAACATGGAAGTGAATTGTGAGCCAGCACATGGTTGCCCCACCACACTGGAGGACGATTCCAAGTCAATGGTGTTGTTTGACCTCAGTCCACTCCCGTCAGTCACCTCACCCCAGTGTGACCAGGAAGATCAACAAGACATCTGTAGGGAGGAACAGATAATGAAGCCACAAGACTGTATTGATGTTGCCTCTGATTTGAGTACCTTGATGCCCTCCACCACCAACACACTACTCTGCCATCCCCATCCACCACTATCTCCTTCAGACTTCCTCAATAGCCATGAACGATCATCATTTACACAAGACTCGGGCACAGTGAATCTCTCTGCTCCATTTCTCTCAGATGCTCTTCCACCCCAGGACTTGGAGAATAATTTAGAAATTTCCCCAGAAATAATGGAGCACATCAATAAAATCCTCCCACACAGCCTGGACATTGATGAGTTAAATGCCAATACCACATATCTGGACATGTTCCTTGGAAACAGTGATGATCTCCTCAACAGTGCCATGCAAGAGTCAGGCCTACTAGACACTGAGGTAAATATCAGAGTATTGTAACTTTTTATTCACAATTTCGTGCAAATGTTTAACTCCATGCAACCCAGGACACTAGTTAACATATCGAGGAACCACATTTTTTACCTGTTTTTAATGCAGTACAGGGTTTTTTTTTTTTACCACACTGTTACATTTTATTCTCTCTCTCGCACTCTCTAAAACACTTGTCTTTCATTTTACTTTATATATATATATATATATACTTTTTTTTTTTTTTAAATAATAGATTCAATGAGAGTAGTACAGTAGATACTGAACAAAATCCTAATTCCTCTGTGTCCAGATGATAGCCCTAAACAGATGACCTTACTGTACTGTATATCCATTTATGATGAAGTAATAATACATGAGGATAATGGAATAGTTGTTTGTGTTGTAAGGGTTATATACATAAGGTACCAAATGTAGTTGTTGGTCATAAGGTGGAGAAATTTGGTTCTTTTGGAGGCTGCTATCAGTGAGTGAATCATTGTGACTTGGTCAACTACATCACAGAAAGTGCTTCATTTACCTTTAGTTTTGAATATTTTCCCTTATGCACCTGAAGCCAAGAAGTAACAAGCTTAATTTATTTTATTAATTTTATTTTATTCAGATGAATAATGGACTTGGAAGGCCGTGTGAGGGTGATGCGAGTGCTCTACCTCAACTGCCAACTGAGGGAGCTAAGAGTGTCTACCAAGGTCATGACACCCCAGTCAACCAGAATTCACTTTCCATTGAGTCATTCTTGAATACGTCACATGTCACGGCTCTCTCACAGACAGTTGGGACGGAATCTGTGTGGCCTTTACAGGAACCTCAGATATCCTCACCGTCAGTTGGAGAGTTCGAGGGTTTGTTGGCGCCATCCCCTTGTGTGGAGTCTCTCGTGTTGCCTTCTACTCCGTTATCTAGTGGTGCAGCAGGAGTGGCACACTCTAATATTAGTACAGTCAGAGTAACCCGACAGAGGAGGAGCTCCAAGAGGCCCGCCAGGTTCAGGGATACTGTGCCTCTCGATGATTGCTTAACCACAGATCTGCTGGGCTTAGACTTAACGCAAGAGTCACTTGAACCATTGGCATCAACGTCTGGGTACACCACCTCACCCAGGAAGAGAAAAAAGTCTGAGGCACTTGAGGAACCATTGGCCTCAACATCTGGGTACACCACCTCTCCCAAGAGGACCAGACAGTCCAATACGTGTCTGTCGGAAGAAGAAAAGTACCGTAGAATTCGCGTGTTGAACAACGAGGCATCGAAAAAATGCAGGCAGAAGAGGAAGGAAAGTATGAAGGATATGGAAGGAACTGTGGTACTCCTTGAGGAGAAAAACAAGAAGCTGAAGGCGAAGGAAGCTGCCCTTACCAGACTGCGGGACAGATTTCAGTCCCTCGTTCATGAAACGTTTACGAAAAGATTGAAATCAAATCTGCAAAATATTAAAGATTGAGCTCAAAGTATATTAAAGATTGAACTCTAATGTACTACAAGATTGAGGCTTTTGACTTGCTGGACTTGTTCAAATTAAAATTGCCCGAATAAGAATTTTAAGTCTAGAAAGTCAGTCTCCTAGCCAATGTAAACAGTTGACATGTACTGTATAACAATTTGGAAGTACTGTACTATAGTATAATTCAACATCAGAGCAAAATTAAGTTGTGGTTTGTAGTTACAATCACTGCATGGTGTGGTGTGATTAATTACCTGTTGTACAATGACCACTGTACAATAATAATGCACAGGATGGTGTACAGTACCTACAAAGTAATGTTTTTATAATATTTATATTTTAACCGTTTACTGGAGAAGGTTTGAGAATATTTATATATTGGCATAATTTTAGATGAAATAAATATTTGTTGAAAACCTGAGTCTTTTTATGAGAACTAACCTTGATGAACAAAATTTAATGCTAATGTTCAGTAAAAATTGATGAGGATAGAATTATTATTGAATAATTATTGCTAAGGTGGCGAGACGTAAATGACGCACAACTACACAATGATCACAAGAAAGAAGTGACTGACAAAACTACTCGACAAGTGATAGAATTACTTCAAGGTGAAATACCCTAATGCTACCTGTGGGGATTAGGCTACCAATAGGAAAATCAATCCAAAGGTGACTAAACTAGGATGTCTAAAGGTGAAGTAAGCTAAGGTGTCTAATCTTCAGGTGATCCTACTCGCCTGAAACTTTGCACAGTAATCCGATTAATAAACTCATAATGGATTGTATGGACTTAAGTTAGTAATGAGAATAAGATTACCTATGGAATACGTTAGTGTAGATTAGGTAATGTGAGGATAACATTTACTTCATCCACTGTGCCACTGATCGGCTCGTTAGCCGATTGGATAAGAAGTGTTGTAATTTTAACACCGAAGTCATAACCATCCTTGTAGATGTATCGAAAACAGTGGAAGAAATAAATTTACAATTATCCAAATTTTTTCAAGAAATTTCTTTACATCAAAAAGGGTGATAAATCAATAGCATCAAATTACCGTCCCATTAGTCTCACGTCAATCATAGGCAAGTTGCTAGAGTCAATTATTGCTACAAAAATCAGAAGCCACCTTGAAACATTCAACTTAATTCATTCTTTCCCAGCACGGGTTCACCTAGGACGTTCTTTTTTGTCTCTACAAATTTGTTTGGGGCTTTTTTCAGAAGTATTTGAAGCGGTAGATAACATAAGTCATATGATATAATTTATTTAGGTTTCAGTAAAAGCATTCTGATAGAGTCCTCATGAGAGATTGATATGAAGGTAGGAAGCACATGGAATAGGTGGATCAGTATTAAATGGATTAGTCATGGTTAACTGGAGAGGAAACAAAGAGTCAGCATAAATGGATTAAAGTCAGACTAAAAATAAAAAGCGGAGTTCCCCAGGGATCTGTATATTAGGCCCTCTGCTGTTTGTTATATTCACACGATCTTGGATTTAGGCATAACTAGTAGGATTAGTAATCGGTAGAAGATACCAAAATGGGGAGAGTGATAAATTAGACAGTGACTTTGAACACTTCAAAAGAGATCTAGATACTACATGAGAGTGGCTGCAGACTGGCAAATGAATTTAATACCGATAAAATGCAAGGTACTAGATAGGGAAGACGAATACAAACGTTAAGTATAAACTAGGTAACACGGAAATAGAAAACTCCAGTTTTCAGAAAAGATCTAGGTGTATTTGTTAGCAACGACTTGAAACCTAGAAAACAATGTATTAGCGTTCGCAACAAGGCAAACAGGATTCTTGGGTTCATATCTAGGTCTGTGAGTAACAGAACTGCTGACGTTATCTGAAACTTTACCTAGCATTAGTGAGGCCACACATGGATTGTGCGGTTCAGTTCTGGTGTCCTTATTATAGAATGGACATAGATTCTTTGGAGAGAGTACAAAGAAGAATGACAAAATGATCCATAATATTAGAAACCTTCCATATGAAGAAAGACTGAAAAGCTTAGGCTTAATATTCATTAGAGAGGCGTAGAGTTAGGGAGATATGATAGAGTGTGTACAAGTGGGTAAGTGGGATTAACAAGGGTAAATGAAGATGTTCTGAAGCTCCAGTAATAACGAAATAATCTGAGAACAAATGGCTTTAAATTAGATAAATTCCGATTCAGAAAGGATATGGTGCAAGCACTGGCTTGGTAATAGAGCTGTGGATATGTGGAATAGGCTACCGAGTGCTATAGTAGGATCGGGGACGCTAGGGAGCTTCAAGACGAAGTTGGATAGGCACATGGAAGTGCTGGGATGGGTGTGAAAGGGATCTGCCCTGTATGGGCCAGTCGGCCTCCTGCAGTATCCCACTTTCTTATGTTCTTATGTGATCACTGAGAACTTAATACAACTAATATATTAAAAAATATATATTAATAGCATTGTGTAACAAATTAACCTCTTTCAAGAATATTTAATGGTTATTTATTGGAAAAAATAAAAATTAACAACAGACAAAACCATTCTTCATACTTAAAAACTATTCCATCCGGATGCTTTACTAATTTACTATATATATAAATCAAGATTTAAGTCATATTCATTGAAGAGTCCCGTCACTAACAAAGAAAACGTTACTTAACTACGAAGGCATTTGGTTATTAAGTTTATGATAACACATTTTCAATATTTCACGAGTTAATCCACCGCTGATAGTGGGGGAAAACAGTGAAAGTGTCCCACACACCTGTGGCCAACCAGCGTAGCCTCGAGATGTAGCAGCCAATGAGCGGCCAGTGTGAGCAAGTTGTGTCTGGCATCTCGCTGCAGGGGTTTTAATTTGCTCTAGGTTGCGTTTGTGCTTAATATTCGGGAATAATGAGTTCCTCAGACAATCATAGTCAGCCAATAGATATTCACGGAAGTGTAGGAGGAATGTGGAGAGCTCGTTTAGTGTGACAGGGAAAAGGAACAGAGGTAAGGCGTACATTACTGTCCTGCAGTTGCATAACTAAACAAGTTGCTGCCTGTGTTGCGACCTGCATGTGCTTGTGGTCTCTTCAAGGACATTTCGACCAAGTTTTGGTCTATAGGCTACTTCAACCAGCATAATGCCTATCTGCCTAAGGTTATGAGTTCCAATGATGTGAAACGCAACACCATCATTATAGGCCTATAGCTGGACAATAATTTTTCTCCACAACAACCCTTCCTCACCACTTGACAAGCATCAGCAATCATTGTAAGGCTAATCAGGATCTTGATAAAGGAAAGTCAACGACCATGGTTTTCTGAGGAATAACAAAACCGTTTGAGATTGACATCTCTTTACTATAAAAATATAACAAAACTCTGACACCACTCAACAAACATCAAATAACAATTAAGGCAGTCAACAGTTAATGGAGTCAAACAATTAAAGGAAGCAAACAATTAAAGGGAGTAAACAATTAATAGAATCAAACAATTAATGGGAGTCAACAACTGATAGAATCAAACAATGAACAAATATTTCCTACGGCAGTGGCCCTGGGGGAAGGTCCTGGAACAGGTGATGCACACTCAGGGTAGGGAAGCGTCCATTCAACTCCACACTCGAGCGACGTCTTGAAATGGCAGGAGAACACCGGGGCACAGACGGAATGAGATGAACTGGCAGTCGTGGTATGTGGTAGTGGTAGATGACCAGAGAATTGACAGTCGATAGGTGAAGGTCTGGGAACACAGCCCACGAGTCCAGGACCTATGATGAGATCACAGCCAGAATTTGAAGGACAGTCGGGTAACTAGATAGTGACTGTATGGCGGCTGGGTTGAATCTGCCGGTGACCCAGATAGTCGCTGCCGTTCTCACCTCTGTCCAACCACCCCAAGTGTCATCCGCACCAGCAAACGAGCGAGTTAGCAGCGGTAACCAGCAGGAAGATCGTTTCCGCCCTTACATATTCATATAACTACACTTTTTTACTTCATTCCATTTATATTAGTGTTTATTGTTGCATTTGTGGTTATATTTTACCGTTTACATTATCACTTCCATATCTGCAGTGAAATACATACAAAATGAGACATTGTTTATTAAAATAGGAGTAATAAAGGCACCTAAGTATTGATAAACAGCAGGGTGTCTTGGAAATATGTATATCATATTTGTGAAGACGGCCTTGATGTTTATATTTAAAAAACTTTGTCCATGCATGTTAGTATGGGAAATGTCCACAAGACATTGACCAGCATGTTACTCTTGTCACAAGCATTCTTATGATCACGAATATTTGTTTGGGATTACATTATATATATATATATATATATATATATATATATATATATATATATATATATATATATATATATATATATATATATATATATATATATATATATATATTAAATAAAAATATAATAATAATAATAATAAAGGACCATAAATAAATAAAAAAGATCAATAGTCAGAAACAATACTGTATATGTATGTTGTGTTGTCAAAGTAAGAGAAACAATTGAGACCCTGCAATTGTGTGTAAATGAGGCAGAAATTCAGATCAGCAACCTAGGACTTTGTCACAATTTTTGTGATGCCATAATTGCCAGCTCAGCCTACCGGACAGGAGGGAACGAGCGCCGTGTAAACAATGACATTTTTAACCACACCCTGCAAAATACAGTGTACTTAGCAGATGCTGCAGCTTCTGAGAATGTGGGTGGAGCGGGTTTATTACTAAGAGCAGAGACGTTACCGAGAACAAATTCTGGCTTGAATGTCATGTACACTAATACCGACACGTTCCTTGATAAGAGGGAGGAGTTTGAAACACTACTAAGAGTACACCAACCAGATATTGTAGGAGTTGTAGAACTGTTGTACAAGAACAGGAGAATCGACCCAGAGGAATGTGAGTTCAGTATTGCTGGATATGACTCATTTACGAACCTAACTCAAAAATCCTGCAGGAGGGGTGTGGTTATCTACGCTAGGCAAGACCTTAGAGCCAGCCAGGCGAGGGTACAGGGAGAGGATGTTTTTGAAGAATCCAAGTGGTGTAAAATTAAATTAAAGGGAGGGGACTTACTTATCGTCGGGTGTATCTACAGATCCCCAAACTGTGGCTCACTAAATCAAAGGAAGTTAAGAGCCTTAATAGACAATGTGGTGATGCTCAACCCTAGCCATCTTCTTATCATGGGGGACTTTAACTATGGTGACATCGACTGGAGAAACGAATTCACCCTAAATGACTTGAATAACCCTGCTACTATTTTTGTAGAAACTCTGAGAGGTAATTTTATTTTCCAACATGTTAGAGACCCGACACATTACCGAGGAGAGCAAACACCCAAGCAACTAGATCTCATCATAACAAACAAGGAGGGTATGGTGGCCAAACTGGAGCACCTTGCCCCAGTTG